GCCGCCCTCGAGAAACTGGTGTTTTTGATGGGAGTTTTCCGACAGCTCTGACATGGAGATAGAGTGGTCTTCTGTCGTTTACTATCCCAATTTCATATGTAATTGTTTCTCGATGTTCCTGGACTGTGTTCAAACCAATCATAAAACATCATAAAACTATATTTTTGTATGGGGTTGATTCCATATTGTTCCATAAATTCATTGGTGAGAGATACCACCCCTCCGTGCAAGCTTTTCACAATTGCACTCCAATTGTGAGTGGGTGTTCAATTCAGGCATGTGGTGCCTGTGACAACATAGCGATTTGATGATCAGCTGGTGTCAAAGGTCTAGTCAATTCAGTATTTCAGCACAGTGGGAAGAAGGTGAGGTCGGGATTCTGAAATCTTGAAGCTTATTTATCGTCAAAGCTGTTTTGCGTTTGACCTCCCACTCTAGATTCTCTCCTCTGCATCTGCTCCAGGTGGCCCCAGCATCCATCGAAACCTTAGGAAGCACAGGTCCATAGCTCGTTCCCAGCATGCCGCCCATGTCTAAGCCATGGCAGTTATCTCCATTGGCTTTATCAAAGCGATCGGCCACCCACTTAATGATGATGGGATTTCCTGTTTTGTGGCTACCTGGCTGAAGTTAAATCAGGATACATTCTGAATCATTAGCACAATCTAATAAATACTAAATTGACGTTGATGCTATGTGCACAAGCTACCCCTCATACAAGAACCAAACAAACTCGATGATTGAGGTTGCATCTTCTGGATTTTGTGGCTCAGTCCACACCAGTGGTGGAATGGGATCGTGCATGAAGCTCAGTTTGTTGAAGAAATATCGATGGTAAATATTACACAGTGAGGCATGCTCATGAAGTTTGCGTTTGTTTATTTACTTAATTTCATCTCACAACTCAAAAAACCTAAAGTATGTTTTGTTCATCTTGTTCTACCCCCACCAATGCTGAGTGTTGAGCTCTGCTGAATCATGCATATCATGCACTTCTTGCTGAATGAGGACCTGGTGGCAGTGGATGCCTTCTGCGGAGAAGCTCAAATTTCGAAAGCCTTTAGTAGGGGGGCCAAGTTGGACCCTTCAATGGATATTCTAAACATTGTTAAGGCTGATAGGATTTGTTACATGTTTTTAGTCCAGAATGCACACGCAGTCACTGTTGATTTGCTCAAAAGTACTAACGATCAAAAAACAAAATCACGGATGAATGGGGAATCCCTGATCTTCTTTAAGCCGGCTATGGACGAATGGGTTTCACATGAGTGCACCGCTGCTTGAATATTAAAATCAACATAATATTGTAATTATTATGATAAGATTATTTCTATCGGGAATGTGCAAGTTCGTTAGTATGTTCTTGAATACAACTTCATTTCTTATATTCAGCACGCAAGACATCATAATACAATGCTTGATATCGCGTTTCTTCTAAAGGTGTGTATGTATATATCTGTTCAGCTTAACAAAAAATGAATTCTTGAAACTGACATGAACATCAGTTACACAGCCATAGTTGGTTCTGAAATTTCAGCACACTACCTTGCTGGATGCAGTGTATCGAATCCAGTTGTATTTTTTGGTTTGGACAGCTTGGATGAGTTCTTGTGATGTTCCATGGCCGTTCGCATGTTTTGAAACTATCTGCAAAGGTGCGGCAGGACACAAAGTGTCTGTGGCTAAGTTCACTTTTGCCATCAAATCAGTACAACTTGTTGCTGGCGATCTTCAATTGGTGCTGATGTAATTTTCCCTTTTTTCCGCAACTTGCTTGATTTCAAATTTGTTCGCAAGTGCCCTGATCCTTTGCACTACATGATTTTGCTGATTTACAATCTCAAAAAGGTATGCGTCCCATGCCCACAATGTCCAGTAGGTCTGGTCAGCACGTTTTTAACTGAGGGCAAACTTCGATGTCTCACAGGGAAATGATGGAGACATCTTGGACATGCTTCAGCCTTAATGTGATGACTGAGGGGGGGCAGTGGTTGTGAATGATGTCACATGCAATTTCCCGGTAATGACTCGTGCCTGTGTAGCGAACTTTTCATACTTAATTTTTGGTTGAATGATTTTCCAACACTGTTTGTTGTTCATGTCATGCTTCGAACATGATGCATGGCATACTGGTCCGTTATCCACAGTGATTGAGGTGGGGCCTTTGCAGCATCATCAAGAAGGTGCTCAAAATCATGCCGTATGGCATCTTAGTGGGTGGTCCACCCTGTGGGTCTTGGGTGTTTATCAATAAAGCTACATCCCGTCGATCCCCCCGGAGAATTTTCGGGGATTGCTCTCGGCCCTACATAAGAGCTGCAAACACGAATCTTGGCTCAATATTTCATTGAACTCTAGCTGACAATTATCCAGTGAATTTCCCTGCTGATGCTAGGATAATAATATATTAATCATATGTTGTATAGCTGTTGCATTGTCATTCTAAATCCCATTAGGGATTGCAATGCCCCTGTTCCAAAGGATCACAACAAGATGGATTTTGTTGGCAATGATATGTGTGGCGAGATCCGTGGAGTGGCTGACAGAGCAGCCACGTGGCAGCTTGATGCCTGCTTGCCCCTACGTGACCTTCCTGGCCATGGTTGTGAAGCCGTCCTTTTGGGGTCGTGTCTCTTTGCTCTGTTCTCAGTTGGCTTTGTCTAGATTGTATTGCCTTGAAGATCAAAGGTAATGTGGTGAGAAATCCTTCACTCTCAACTGCTCGGTTTGTTTTGTGAAGCTACTGGGCAGTGCTTGACACATAGCGCACAAGCTTCATTTAGAATCACATAGAATCAAATAGCGCGCACAGTTCATATCATATACTGTATCATACATGTATCTTGTATTTATTACAACACTATATTTTATAAATTATACTATGTTGCATCGGTGCACTCTTGTGAATCACCCATTGCCTATTGTTGCAACCGCACTGAGTTTGATGGGGGCATACCAAAGCCGCACACCCAAGCGGACTTTGTGCTTCGGAACACCGCCTAGCCCCCAGTGTGCCTTCCGTCTTTGCTGAACACGTCACTGTCAGTCCTGGCCAGTGTGTGCTTTTTGAGGCCTTGGTTGCCCCTTCTTGTCCGAAAAATGACGGAGAATGACAAAAAGCGTGTGGCCAAGAACAAACGGGACACTGCAAAGGCCATGGTAATCAAAACGGTGAACAAAAGAGGTCGAGTTACAGTGTTTTATGGCTGCATTCCTCTCGTGGGTCGGGTTTTTGAGGATAGCATATTTAGAATCCAAATTCATTTTGCTTGTGCATATTTTTTTTGGTGGAAATATCTATTGGATTCATCCCTTGCACATAGTATTTCAAGTTGGTGGATAAACCATGTATAAAAATAAAATATATATCAGGTTTACAGGTGCAACTGTGAGACAAATTGCAATGAACTGGAATGGATAATAACATACCCTACTTGGAAAGTTGTTTGTTTCACCAAATACCATTATAACTGTTGATGTATTCGGCAATGATATACCAATGCCATGTCGTGAGCACTGCAATCCACCAGAATATGTGGTTCTGAAATGTGATCTGACTAGTTAAGCTAAGGACTGGAGGACCTGGCATGACAGCATCTGCTGCTTACACGAAGCGATTTGCTCGGGCCATTGCCAAACATCATCTTAATTTCATGACCGACCCTTGGATACAAAAGCTTGCATTGGCTTGGTGTTCAACCAGCAGAAGCAAAAATCTATACTAAAATTCACCTGTTGAAATGATTATTGATCATTCAGTGGGGCCAATACATTGACTCGATTGGCTTTCCTGGGTGCATTTTATGATCTTTGATATAGCCAAGATTGATTCAGATTTCACGTCTCATGCTGGTCTCTATTGACCTTTAAATTTGTTATCAACACATTGTTTCCCATGTCTTAGAAAGCCTGCGTGTCACCCCCAGCTCTCGCTCCTGAGAATGCGCGAGCTGCCGGCTACACTCCACCTGGCCCGACTGCTGAATTGGAGGGAGTGAAGGTGCATTCATGGATGTGCTTACCCTTTGATTGAGTGATATAGTGTTTTTCTTTCACCCGGTCTGAGGTAAATGGTGAAATGAATGGCACCGTGGTATAATGGTGCAATATTGTAGCACACCTATAGTATCATCAGGTTAAAATTTTGTTTCTTTAATCCTACAGGTTCGAACTCACATTTTAACACAAACATTTGCAATCCATGCCATTGCACAACTAAGACTAACACATAATTGTTGCATGTTTGAGAACAGCCCCCGTGCATTGCACAGGCGCCATTTCGCTGGAGACATGCTCGTATGGTGGAGATAAGGAACTTTCTCCACGACAGGGTCGCTGATGGATCCTATGTGCCTGTGTTGGAAGAAGGCCTCTGATGCCTTTTCTCCTCGGATCCTAAGATGCCTCTACAATTCCAGCTGTACCAAGTCTCGTTTGTGAGACCCGTTCCTGTAGTTGGTCTTATTGGCCATTTGTACAGCACTTGTGATGTAGAACATCAAAATTCATAGATGCCTTCAATATGACCACAGTGACAGAGGGGTATATGCGTTATGTTTTATTTACATTAACAGACTGCTGTTTGGAATGGCATCGAACATAATTATAACATATTCCAGTATATGGACACAGATACCCCTGAGATGTGGTGAAGATATGCATCGCCTATTGGACCGCATTCATGGGGGAACACAAAAATGGTAGAGTCAGATTGCACTGATGGGACCTTGAAACTAGGGGTGCGTGAAACCACCGTGAAACCACCGTGAAACCACCGTGAACCCCCTTTGTTTGGCGTGAACCCCCTTTTTTTGGCGTGAACCACGTAAACCCAAAAATCCATGATTTTTCAAGGTCCCTGATTGTGAATAATTGTGTCATTTGCACAAATGTATGTGCTGTCATTGCAACATATTGCAATTATGTCTGCATTTATTGATTTGTGGCTTCAAACTGTAGGATTTGTGGTTAGGGCTCGGTTTCAGTACAGAACCTCCAAAATGGTGGAACCAGACAAAGTGTCTGGAGTGCTCGCCCGAGCAGCTGCACGTGCAGCAAGGCTAGCTGAACTGGACACAGCACAAACGTCCATTCAAAAGTTGCTAAATATCGATATGCCACCGGAGATGCTTCCATGGGGAGACGTGATGTCCCATGATTGAGTTTCAGTGGGGTTCAATAAGCACGATGGTCATCGCTTTGTATGTTGAACATGCGAATTAAACCACGGCCCTGGTTACTTCAAAACCATGTTTGGTTTCTCCAGAAGATTTTCCCTACCCCCCTTCTACTCCCAGCCTGCTGTTGAGGTTGAAGGACATGGCATGTGACACGCTTGAGTGTTCCAAGCCTCCCAAGGGCAAGGGCATGGGAGCTGTTGCCTCTCCTGCTACAGAGTCAACACGTTCCTCGACGGGATCTTCGGCTAGTGGTGACTGTCCTAAGGGGCAACCATCTCCAGGACCCTATTAAGGCAAATGTTGCTGAACTGATCTAGATCTCGATCGATATACTTGCTGTAGTCACTCAATCTATAAGTATCAACTAGTTTATCAATTGGATGAACTTGCGTTTGTTTGTTCATGTAAGCACTAGCATGCAAAACCACACACACACAGATTCAACATGTGGTACTTCGATGTTCTCCAGTGTTAGTGGTATAGAATATTATATATTATATTGTATATTATATATTATATAGATAATATAATATTTATATTCTCCCTTCAAGGTGCTACTGCTGCGCACACATGTGCCCAACAGTTCACAAACTCATTTGTTTATAACATATAATATCTGTGGGCAAGCATCCTGCAGAAGGAACTTATTTCACCAATATGCATTACACAATACATTGTGTTTGATCATTGTGCATTATGCTATTGGTTTGGGAGCTGAATGATACTGGAAATATCGATTTTCAAGATATTATGCATTTTCAAATGAGCTATCTGCAAGTATTGGGGATACTATTTTTGGTTGGTCTTGTAAAAATCATTGGTCAGCCTTAGTTCAAGAGTCTACTTTAGTTTGGTTTTACTTATTACTCTTTTGCAATGTAAACTCGTAATTGAACCAATAGTGATAATGCAATTGTACAATATACCATCGATATTAATAAATTATTGTTGGTACAAATCAAAAGTACAATCAATGAACTGTGAACACACATAATTTGTTCGTTTGGTATCAAATCTTTCACTTAACATCACATAGTGGTAAGTTCCTTGAGTACCACCAATCACCGTTTTTGCTTTATGTATCACATTTAGGTTTTAGTGATATGGTTTTACTCTACAACGAAATATTGTTTTCCCTGTTCAACAATATTCATAAAACTGCAATAAAACATATTGAGACTATATTGACTATTGCATGCATGTATGCATGCATGCATATAATAGATCCACCTGTACTCTGATGACTGAAACACAGCTTTCATATCACTGTCCTTGGTTCAACCAAATAAGCTATACTATCTTGCCCAGATCCATATATCCTCATCTCGCTAGGAGGTGCGAGTGCAACAAGTACAGCAACCACTGTCCCGGCTAGCGATGCTGATGCCATCCAGAATGCCCAGGCTGGCCTTGCTGCAGCTGAAGCTTCACCGCCTGTAACACCTCGGGAGCAGATTCGTAGAACATATACCCCTACCACAGTGCTGTCTGGCCCACTGGCAGATCAGCCAATCTTGGCCGCCACTGCGTCGCAGAATGGTCAGCCTTCAGCAAATGCAGCCCCTTTGGCGCCCAGTCCCAAAGCCACCTCCACTTCCAAGAAGTCAGCCAAAGGCACAGGGAAGAAATCAGTTAAGAAGAAACTCAAGGGAAAGCCGGCAGGAAAGAACAAGACCAAGGGTACCCCTGGACGCAAGACCAAAAAGCCAGGTACACCAGTTGCCACCACAACGAACACACCAAGACAGTCTGTACCTGCCACACAACAAGAGGTTCCAGGCACAATGGGGAATGCTGAACCTGTTCCCACTGGTGAACCACCTCGGAGGGTTGCAGCAAAGAAATGTGCAGCAAAGAAACCTGCGACCCCTCAGCAAAGAAATGTTCAGCCTGAATTGCCCCCTTGCAAGCTTGAGAAACGTGAAAAGCCAACGGTGAAACTACCTGCCACCCCACCAAGTGTGAGGGAAAACAGAGCAAGGAATGCAGCCATCTCGGGTGCCGTGGGCAGGGCAAACACATCAGATCAGATTGGCAACGTCACCATGCAGACCGTGGAGGAAGTGCTTGCAGCGGTTGGACCTGTACCGGTTGGACCTGGACCCACTGCTCCTGAAGAAGATGAATACTATGATCCTAGTGAGAATAGTGATTATGAGGAAGACAACGAAGACGCAGAAGCAGAAGAAGGAGAAGACGACCAGGAGTCCGGTGAGACCAGCAACCAGGCAACTCCTACCACTACCACTACCACCAGAGGAAAGAAAAAGAACAAGGAAAAAACTCCCCAGCAGAAAGCAGCACATGCCCGGTACATGAAGTTCTTCAGAAATGTTCGCAGTATCCCAGCAGCAATTTTGAACTGGTCTTGTTCGTCGGCTATGCCTTCTTGAATTGCTGTTACCACATGACTTGTATTTATATTGCAATGTATTGGTGTGGCACAGTGCAACAATGGGACTAGATTGATCATGATGTAGTCGTGAAACTCTAGACTCTATGAGCCTAACATTTTTTTAATAGATTACATAATCCAAACTATTAAGTGGGCATCCAACTAGTACGATAAATATGTTATGCTACACTATAAACCGTAGCTTCTAATGCATATACAATAAATGCAAATCATTGCTGCCATAAAAGTTTTGTTGCTCCACCAAGGGGTGTCTTGTTCTGAGGCAGGAAGTGTCCCAAGGAGATCAGAAAGATTGCTGCAGGTGCACACGGCTGTGTCTTGGCGCACGCATGCTATGTGGAACATCCAGTTGGAATGAATAGTGAAGCTGAGTCTGTTGGCTACCATTGTCCTTGATAGATTTTCCATGTATCTCGGATCTCCATATCACATCGGCTCATTCTAGATCAAGAGTCCATCTATTATGCGTGCTTTGTGCTGTGTACTGGTGTGTTGCCTACCCCTGAAGACTCTAGAACATTTGGATGTGGTGTCAAGAACCAACTGCTTTGCAACAGTTGCATCACATTAAACAAAATATGAAAATATTGTGAACCGCAGTGGCAATCATTTGCATACACCTACCTTTTCATCATGGGAGTTTTGAAAAAAAAATTGCTTCGTGCCCACTGGTGAGTGAGGTCACGACAAGCTCCAAATTCTCCTTGACGAGTGGAGCACATGTCAAGGCGATTGGAAGCGAAGCGAATTGTTCCAGAAGGTTACTTCTCGCCATTCCAACTCCAAATTTGGATCCCGTCGTTGGTTGACACGTTCACAAATAGCGGAAAAGTACAGTGGCAATGATGCTCTGGCCCGTCAAATTTGTGACGCAAAGCTCGGCGACGCAGAAATGTCGAAAACGCATGTGAAGTGGCATCCAGATTGCCCCCGCAACGAGGCAATTCAGGGTCCATCTTGACATGACTTCTTATATATTATATGTGGGTGTATGCGTGTTGGCATTGATTCAAATGCATTCACTGCAATCCAAAACACATATCACATATCGTACCATATATGTTTTGTGTTTAGTGTACAACATACGAAATCAGATTCTTGCGATGTCAGCAATATTTGCATCATTGATTTGAGGGATGGGGTGTTGAGGTTGTGTTCTTATTTGTTGTCCAGCAGTGTTTATGTCACATTAGAGCTGAACACCTTCCTATACCCTTGAAGCTTCTATCAATGCTGCCAGGAGCTTCGCCTTTACCTAGTATGGGATGCCGAGGGCGAAGATGACCGTGAAGACACAGTCGTCGAAGAGTTGTTCCAATGTTTGGATGCCAGTGACTCCGAGGATGGTGGGAAGAAACCGAAGAAACACAAAAAGTCTAAGCGCGGCAGAAGCAAGTCCAAGTCCAAGTCCAGTAGCAGCGAGAAGTCCAGCGAATCTTCGTCGGATGAGTCTGAAACTTGTCTATGATTCCTTTCATTCGCTGGAACATGCCAAATCTGCATGCATGCGATTGCATATGTAATATTCAAATTTCAGCATGCAGCATACACAATAATATTCATGTACATCCACTACACATGCATATGTTCTACAGACCCAAAAACCACATATGCAAATGCATGAATTAGCCTCAAATCATGTCAAGGACAAGAAGAAGAAGAAAAAGAAAGGTAAGAAGTCAAAGAAGTCCAAAGGCAAGAAGGAGTTGACAGCAGCCCAGAAAGAAAAGGAGGAAAAGAGGGCACTTGAAAAGAAAGCAAAAGAAGCGAAGCGAGAAAAGGATAAAGCTGAAAAAGAAACATTGGGGAAAGCGAAGAAGGCAAGCAGCTTTTGGGGATGTGAGGGTGAGGATGGAAATGCAATCCGCAATTTTGATGTCTTTGGGCTGGACTGTGTTTGCGACATCTTAGCTGTAGTATCTCTGAACACTACCTTGACCTTTGCCAGTTCTATCAGGGCCAGGGCCAACACATCCATAATAAGTTGCTTTCTTGTCTCGAACCCTTTTCCGTTTTCAGAGAAAAGGGCAATGTTGGTTGCAAGGTGTTTTGCATAACAAGACATATCAATGTTCATTAAACAATAAACTATATTATATATACTTTTATAGATCTTATTCGATATATTATTAGTATTACAATATTTGAGATATACCGTGATTTTGTTGCTGGGCCCCCTCTGCACCCTGATTAGATTCAGTGTTTTCTATGTTTTTTCAAACCTTCAGGCTCTGAACTCAGCGAACGAGCACATCTCAAAGGCCGCGACAAAGCTGAAGACCATCAACGCGATGTCTTGGCCTCAAATCAGCTATGGCTTTGAGACCATGTGTTTGTGGTTGCGATGCTGGGTTCGGGCAGAGTTAGTTGGGGCAACCTGCAAAATATCTAAAATTCTTATTGATAGAAAGGGGTGCATTTAGCACATGAATTTATATTGTCCGACCATTTCAGGTCATATCAATTGTGTTCCTTTTTAGCTTGATCAAGCTAAAGAGGAACACAATTGTTGAACCATATCTGATTCCAAATGCACATTCATCAGCATAACAAATTTGATTTTATGGAATGCATCCCCCTTCTTTGGACAGATGTAGTAACATCCCAACGATTCAATTTTAGCTAATTATAAGTGTGACCAATGCCACATCGACATTGGAAGAATTGGAAAATGGGCTTCGCAGGAAGCCAACTCCCAAACCTATCCCACTGTATAAAAGGGACACTGTGACCTACATTGTTTTCACATGTGATCTTTGGTTACTAGCAATGCATGCATTTTTATTTTTGACATGATAATTACATATAATGCTATTCATGTTGGATTCACTCATGACACAACTGTCAACGATATAGTAACATCGACAGGGATACCACTGACCATGGGGTAATTAAATCAAGATAGTGCCAAGGGAATAGTTATATCCCATTTTGGTATGTTTCTGATTATTTTGTTTAAGATACCTTATATATTTGGCAAACCACGTGGTTCAACTTACCCAAAAATCAGAAGCACTGGATGCATGTAGTGTGAGGAGGTGCTCCCCACTTGACCCAACTTGTCAATTTCGAAAGGTGGGCTTGTGAAAAAAAGGAAGCTTCAAGCTAGCACAATTGTTGTTCAAAGATTTGCAGTACATCATTGTTTTTTGGTACCCAAACACCCACCTAGTCAAATAACGATTCACACATGAGACAATTGACTTCTAAACTTGATGTTATCCCCGATCTCTGAACGCATAATAAACAATTATCTCATGGTGAAGTAAATTTTGAAATTATTTTCCCATGACCGATATTATTGATCCCCTATAATAGCTGTATTAATACCACTCCCCCTCAAACTGGGGTCACGGGAGTGGATCCATCTGTGCTTCAGGTGTCCAAACCTTCGCTTGGCCATTGAGAAGGATTTCACAACCCTTTGGGAGGACATGGTGGAAAAGCGGGATTATTTGCAGAACATTGTGGACACACGGGAAGTTCCTAGATAGAATTGTTTCAAATAACCAACAATTGATGTATCATTTTTATAATACAAGATAAACCAATGATAAATACTATAAATACTATGACCTGTTGACATTTACATGCCCTAGCCGAGGAAACTTGATCAAATTTGTGGTTGTTACTGGTGCCATGGAATCTAAGGTGAAGAAGATTGACAATGCCATGGCTAAGTGTCAAACTGCCGAGGCTGACTACAAGGATTTTATCACACGTGCCAATCTGAAATGACTGGCACTTATCTATGCGGTTTTGAGTGAATGATCATGTTATGATCACAGTGCCGTTAGAGTGCCTGATGAGCCTGCTATCGGGGGATGAACATGGCTAATGCCAGGGGGGAAGCACCAGTTAAAATTTTAGGATCTATATCGCTGATAAAACAAAACTTGCTGAAAAGGGTGAAACCTTTTTACCACCAAATGGTCTATAGTATGTTCTACTCGCAGCTAGGTTCCGTGAGAATGTGCAAACCTCCCAGGGCTTCATGTTCCAAGGGTGCAAGCGCATTAGAAACAATCGGCACCATTGTGATGGTGAAAGGATTTCCAGCTGGAAATGTGGTCGCTTGAAAGGTGCTGTGTGATTGCACACATTGCACCATCATGATTTGTGAGATCTGAGCTGAAGCGAGAAAATGTTTGGGATTCTTTTGCTTGGTCATGTATATGCCAACCATTGTCAACTGAAGAATTTTTTTTACTGATATTTGGTCTACAATTTTGGTGTAAAGAGGGTATGTGCTCCTGGGTGACAACTGGTTTGGTTGGGGATGGTTGGGGCATGTGACATGCCTGGTCATGTTCTAGCCCCCTCGCAGATGAAGATGTCTACGACGCATCTCATTCTGCTGTTCTGGAGAATGCCATGGCCGATGTTTATGGTGGTGCTACTTGTTTGAACATTATAATAACTCTCAAGATGTCCCAAACGGTTATTTCTTTTGGAGTTGAAATTATACCAATCATATCTCAATGGGCCCTGGACGAATATCACACCATGTCTTTTGATGATAGTATGTTGTGTGTGTGAGTGTCTAGCCCGACCGTCTGTCCCGGCCATTTGCCCTCTGAGGGGTCCACTGCTGGAAAAGCGATGCGCGGAGTGAGAGCCCATGTGAAAGATCCTCGGAGCACGGGTACAACTGATCAAACAGGTTGGGAACTCATCAACCCCGGGAAATCTTAATAATACCATACCTAATAAATTTGGTGAATTATGGGGAAATCGGTACCCAAAGATTGCTTTCATAAAACCTCATCTTAAAATATATTTGGGTGTATTGCGGGGTTGTGCCCAAATAATTTTGCAATTGCTATTATTCCAGCAACTTACAGTATGTTTCAAAATCCCAATGGTATATCTGAAACAATGATTATTCATATTCAAAAACAAAGGGTTTTAAGGTTAAGTTTTACGCACCAAATATGATTTTGAGACCCCAATCATTTGGTTATACTTCAAACAGATAACAACCTGGTTATTAAAGCCCAACTAGGAGAAAATTCCTTGCAAGCAGCATGAAGTAGCAAGTACAAGTATATATCATACAGTAAGCAAATATATTAATTAATGTATTTGCCCTAAAATAATTTTTATATATTACATACAATACTGACATATTACATATACAACATATTTTTAAGTAGTAGGTGTATTCTACACATTTGGATTTGTGTTCTTTTGGACTATCCAAACGCACCTCCTTTAGTATTGCCGGCCTGCCAGCAAAAATGCTCAATAGACTATGTGCACAACAGTAGGAAGCCAGAGAAGAGAATTCTTTTGATGGTAATGTTAAATCCTGCTGTACATGCCTGTACTCCACCATGCCTTAGGTAGGCGCCTGCTGTATCATGTTGTCCTCCGTGACTGCATGCTACAGATTCCAATTTCCATCTCTGCATCGATGTTTTTTTGTCTGTCTCAGCTGCTAAGCTCCTGTTTTTTTTCTTGATCTGCTAGCTAACAAACATGTTGATTCCTTTGGTCAAGCTGTCCTATCAGATAGTTTGGGGATGAAATCCTTCAGTGCCCACGTCCCAGCATGTTTTATTTGATTGGGCGCTGTTCTTATGGTGCTATTTCCAAGGACTCTGGCGGAAAAACTGTGTATCCGCTGACAAAGAGGTTGGGATCCTTATCTGGCAAAAACAACTCCAGAGATTGGTGGAGAGCTTTGAAGGATGGACCTGTTGCGAAGCAGCATTGCAGTGGTATTATTGAGCATAAATGTTCTTTGGAGAAGTCCCCTGTGAAGATATGAACCTATTTGTCCAATCGTAGTTTCTGACTGTGCAGCTATTAGTGCGTGTTTGGTTTTTTTTGCCAAAGAAGTGCAATGTTCTGAGGCAGTTGAGAAGATTCGCATTCCTGTGAAATATGAAGATTTGAGTGATGGAGTGACAAAGTATAGAATGGAAGATTTTCCCATTATGTACCCACACGCTGTCATCCATTTTCTTTTCGAGAAGGCGAAGCTCAAGATACCACCCGAACACATTCAACAATATTGGAACCACCATTCAACTTTTGGAGAAGAGTGGGCGAGGAATCCCCAGACTCATTCGATGATACCTCTCGGTATCTTTGGTGATTCCGCGAGAGTTACTACGCAATATGGAGCAACCCATGTGCTTGGGATATTCCTCTGGTGCTTTTTAGACCAGCTTCAGTGAGGGCATCTCGTTTCCTCCTGTTCTCCATCGGGGAGCATGAATTGTGGCATTACCACACACTCTCAGTTGTGTTGAGAACTTTGACATGGAGTTTGAATGCCCTTTTTGAAGGTGTTCATCCCACTTTGGATGTGCATGGCAAGAGCCTACCACCTCACTTGCAAAAGGTTGCTGGGACACTTATCACTTCAACTGCCTTGTGTTTCTGCGTAACGGAAATTCGTGGAGACTGGTCCTGGCATAAAAAACTGTGGCGTTTTTGGAAAACCTCATGGGTAGGCAAGAAGATGTGCCATTGGTGCAGAGCAGAGTCGACAGGTTGCTGGGAAGGCTTGTATTGGAATCTGACTGAAAGCAGTTCTTGGGTTGACAAAGAATTTACACTTGAAGAGTTCATGGAGGAACGGCTTCCTCCATATGGCATTTGTATCTAGGAAATTTAAAGAACAATTTTGTTGGTTTCGTTTGCGTGATCAATCCCCAGTCCTATGGGTAATAGGACAGCATGGGATCACACGCAATGCCCTACAAATAGTACAGCGCCATGCTATTTGGATTGCTTCTGTATTCTCAAATTCTCATTTCTGATTAACCTGAGGTCCACTTCTTCAGCTCAAGAATTTCACGCCTACTGTTATACGTTGGTGTTTGATGCACCTGGTCCATCTTGGCTTGCTGTTCACAGCAAATGGCAGTGGGTTGAACCTTGGAATGCTGGGATGTGGCTGCAAGCTAGGTAGGACATAGGCGTGCTAATATTGATAAGTGGTGTACTCTGTAGGTGGTGTGTTTCAAGCATGTGGGTGTGGTGGAAGTTTTGGGATGGAACAATTCTAGTCTGGTGGAAGTTTTCAGTTGGCTGGACTAATTGATGTTCCTGCCTGTAGCTGGTGTTGTTGCCAAGGAATTTGCTCCTTCGCTGTGGTTTTTTTGGTGATGCAGATGCCCACTCACGATCACTTTTGCTCGCTAGGGCATATGCGCACTTCAAGGAGTTTTGCAAGAACAATCGCATTTCCTGCTCCCAATCTGTGTTCAAAGAGAGCACTGCTCCTTGGATGGTTGAACAGCTTTTTCAACAATGCAAGAGGAAAGGAATGAGTGACTGAACTTTTTTTGCAACATATGATGGAAATCGAATGAGCAACTGCTGTTCTAGGTAGTTCTGCTCGCAGTATAATGTGTTATTCTACAAGCTTGTGTGCGACTGTGCCTGCTGATAAGTATTTATCACGTTGCCTGGTTCGTCTTGCTATAGATTTTGTTTTTTGAGATTCAGAGAGATGTGCTGTGATGCCACCATTTTGCCAGCTGAGATGTTCAAGAAAAACGGCGACGTTCTCCTGACACTGAAGGCCTACAACAGTCGGTGTATCCTTGCTTGGCTGTCAGAGGTTGTTTATGAGGCAAGTCTTAATCCTGCGTACTCTGCTATTGATGAGAGATTTGATCTCATTGCTGCGGCTTTGATTCATGGCTGGATCAGCTGGATGGTTTGTATTCCAAAAGCCTTTGAAACAAATAGATCTGAAAGGGAATCTGTGTTTGAGCTTTATTTCCGGCATTGGACATATACGATATATTGTATGAGGCCAATGTCCACTTTGGATGAATCAGAGCCAGCCCTCACATGGTTTTTTCCTGTCAAAGTCTGTGTGTGGGAGTGTTTTCCATGAACCTTTTCCAATGGTGCACCAATTTCCTTCGCTGATTTGTGCCTCAGAAATTTTGCACTAAGGAGGTGTATGGCCAGATTTTTGGTGTACATTGAAACTGCTGGGCGTTACTTGCATCTAGGATGCAGCACAGGAAAGGAAGTGGGAATTGCTTGCTGATGTAGGCGAGCCAGATATGAAATTTTGGATGTAGCATCGAAATCAACTAGTCCCGAGGTCTTTGACTGAAGCTACGAACATCTACACAGAGGGAAAGCGCTTTCTGGATTTGCATCTCGAGCTCACAAGACTGAGTGTGAGGCATGAGGGCCAAGTCTGGTTTCTATGACTTGACTGGGCATGCATCTGCATGAAACACTTCTATCAAGTATACTGTGCAACTGCCACTTGCCACAAAGATGCTTGTTCTGTTGTGTTCTGATGGCATGTTAGCCAAAACATCAAAACCCCGTTCTGCCCCTTGAATGTTTGGACAGGCTGAACTTGCAAGAATGGTTTCTTCGTGCGAAGTACCACGATGCATGGCTAAAAAGCAAGACAAAGGTTTTTGCACAACCAAAAGCTGAGTTCACATTGCATCCCATATTTCAAATGGTCTCAACTGTCTCAACAGCCTGACTAAGGGCTTGTTTCATTTGATACGGCGTGTTCTCCGCTCCAGCTGCTTGCAAGCAACATATTGTAGAATTGGGCTGAACAGTTCCATGATTTCATGCAACCTAGTTCGTTCTATACTATGCAACCAACATATCCAGATTTTACACAGCAGTTTCCCTCTGTCATGTCAGCCACAAGATGACCATATTTCCTTTAGTTTTCAGTGATCCAGTCTAAACAAAAAAGTAGTTCCGTGGCGCTGGTATGCAATGATTTCTCCATGCTCCCAACCTCATACGAATGTATAAATCGCAATCGATTTTCATTCTTCCACTCCATCTCAAATTTGGCCAGCTATATTATCCCCTCCAGCTTGGGCTCAGGAACGAATCCACGATTCTTCCACGGATTCGTGGATGAAGATGGGATGTCTTGGTTGAAACGTGGCCGGGCCCAATTAGATGATATGCTGCGCATTGATCTGAAACCCCTAGTGTCTCTCAGTCTCTTTGAGAAATCTTTTGCTTAGTGCCTTAATGGAGTAGATCAGATCTGTAATTCTGGGGATCCGGACCACCTGGGTGGATGCACATGAATGCTCTTTGGTGGCAATCATGGCTACCGGAAATCTTTGAGTTGTGTGTTTCCTTGTTGAAAGTTTTTGCTTCTCATAGGATGCAGTCAGAGCTGCCTGATCTGAAAAAAAAAATGGTTTCTGAATTTCTAAGGAACATACCTACGTGCACCTGCTACCAAAAGGCACACATGGATCATAAGATGCAGCAAACTCAGGCGGGATTTGATGTGTGTTCTGTTTGCCCGATGGTGCTTCACACCTTGTGAGTATCTATATAATGTTTTAGTGTTGCTGCTGTCCTGTAGGATATGGCACACCTACCTCAAAGTGAAGAGGCTTCCTGGCAACATTATTTTGTTGTGAGGCTTGATTGGTTGTATACAAGTGTGGATTACTTTGTGACTAGTTGTATCTTTCAGCCCGCCGAGCCACCAAAATGAGGCTAAATCGTGAGATATCTCTGCGATTGTCGAGAAACAGAGGGTGACTATGGGAAATCGATCAGAGATGCTGCAAAAAGAAAAATCGCGTCTTTGCACCTCCAAAGCCGACTGTGGGGGATACCATATCCCATACCCCAAAAAAGGTGGTTACATTAACGACCTTTCTTTCAAAGGGGGTAGGACTAGTAGGGTACAAATATATGATATATGTACGTATAATTATGTAACGTGTACTGTACAGGTTTATAAGCAACAATATATGACTTCAGTATGATTTGGGGTACCTATGGATATCTATGGTTTATACATGTTTATAACCGTCATGTGACTTCAATAGGATGATTATTTGGGTTATCCAAAAATGGAGGGATACTCAAAATGGTATATAATTGCAATGAGAAATTTGTGTTACCCTATTTTCAGACCATCTCATTTAGAGCCATTTTAATGCCACTTGTGCCAGTCACCACAGCCATCAAGCAAACTGTTGTACAGTTTCAATGGTCCCACATCTTCATTTTTCATGGATTTTTCGAATAGGTGACCTACAAGTTTCACCCTCTGGTAAACTAACATAACTATGGGAAATCACCATGTTTAATGGGTAAATCCACTATAAACGGCCATTTTCAATAGCTATGTGCCCGTAGATGTCCGGCCCTTCCCACCGCTCCACTGAGGGAGCCCGATCCCGAAAAGCCAAAGGCGCGGTTCGGCTGGTTATCTAAGAATTATGAACTGTATTACCATGATGATTATATGATACATTATATGATTTATATATGATAAACATACATAAATTATATGAAATTATGATTTATGATATATAAGGGGCAATCACCATTAGCCACTAGAGCGAAGTAATCATATCTACATGGGGTGGCTTTTTAAGAGGGTACACCATTCCATCTCATGGTTGCAACATGCTAAACAACATCTAAAAGCCATTGAACAACTCATCTTCCCTATGATTTGATGGCAGGAGCCCTTCAGCCAGTGGAACAGCGTCATGGACTCATGGACTTAGATAGGGTGGATTGAAACTGGTGCAAACTTGTTTGGCCCAGAGATAAATATGATCGGACTATATCATAGATATCACATGATATCACATTTGCTTTCAATTGCGATCATCAAGGGCAACGGATGTCGATATTTCACTTTGAAAGTCAATTTTGGGATGTACCCTCTGGTTATGACTAACATAGCCATGGTATAGATGGCCCATAGAAATAGATGGTTTACCTATTAAAAGCATGGTTATTTTCCATGGCGAACTGTTAGTCATAACCCACTGAGGCAGCCTTCAGCACTTTCATGCCAGCCTCAGAGCCGGCAGCTGAGACAGGGGACACCCCTTTTTTTGCCGTGAAAAAAAAGGGACAATTTGAAGTTGTTGTTACCAAACCACTATAGGGATTTAGAGATTTAGATCAATGAATTTCTGTTTTTTGGAATCAATTCAAACCAGTGGCGAGTGACTGATCAGAGTTTTTTTTGAGTTTTTCCCCCAATCCAAAAGGTAGTTTCTATCATTGGATTTATTGGCATCCCTTTTTTGGAGCCATAAGCCATCTTTGGAAAGCGTCGCAACGGGGGTTAGCCTCAGCCGAGCCAGTTGTGGTGAAATGTGGTGAAATCAGGGCAAAGGAGCCCGCGACAACGCAGTATGGCACCGAAACGCAGTTTGTGTCGGAAACCCAGCCGTGCATCAGACGAGTCCGCTGATGAGTCGGCTCACGAGTCGGCTCACGAGTCGGCTCACGAGTCGTCCCCAAATCACGGGAAAGGCAGGATGGTGATGCAACATGATGCAACAAAAAAAACTCGGGAGGAAATCATAGATATCATAGGAAATCCACGGAAACAGCTACCATTTTGGCATATTTTGTGGAATATGGGGGTGCTCCCTTTGTGCACAAACTTTGTGCACAATGGTCACCGAGGCCTTCAGATGGAGTGCTTTCTGGTCGACCGGATGATAGGACACCGTGGATGGCCGAAGATGCGTCCGACCTTTGTTGCAAAAAACTGTGATGGGCTGTACCCTGGAGAAACTATAATATAAAACATATATAAACTCTTCATCTGATAGAAAGTCTATGTCTATAGAAGTCCGCCGGCCTGCCGGCGTGTCTTGTGGATCTTGCTTGTTCGTAGTTGTACTTTGGTCTTTGTCTAGACTTTCCCCTTGGCGCGGATTTTTGCCTCGTCTAACTTGAACCCACCCCTCCTCCCCCCCTTCATCATCCGCGTCGTGCTTTTCATCTTTCGTTTCAACCCGTGTTTACAGACATGATTCGGTTTCAACTCCAACCCCGGTTTACGCAAAACCCATGTTTTGTGTCTCCTCTTCGCGTTTTTCCTCTGCGTCTTTCGTTGCAATGTGCTGGGTTCGACTCTGCCCACGCCTCGCGCAACATGCGCATGTTCTTTTTTGTTCCCATTTCCATTGCGGTGCTCGTGATCGGTTTGCTCTGTCATTCTTACACTTTCTACATTCCTATACCTCATACAGATGGCCTGTCAATCCACTTGCTTTTGTGCAGAACAGCATTTACACGGGCAACCTTTCTATGTATGGCGTTTTCCAAAAACCTTGGTTCACACACTGCTTCGGTTTAAATTCAAACCCTGGTTTACGCAAACACCATGCTTTGTGTAAAAGCGCATCTTCCTACTAGACAAAACACTGATTCACAGAAAAAGACGTGTTTTAAGTGTTTCACAGAAACAGCATGTTTTACACAAACATCTAGAAAAATCAAGTTCTTGCTTCGCCCTTCCCTGCGTCCTCAGTTTCACGCTCTTGGTTGGCTAGCTGGCTTGCTATTGTCTAAGCTTTCTTCTGCCGCCGTTGCTTCGCCATGAATGTGCTACAAGGGCTTTCTAGGGGTGACGCCCTGTCTACACAACAACCTTGGTTTAGCCAAAAGCTTTGCTGCACTCAAAACCACTCCTTTACAGACCAACCCTGTCTTTCACAAGTGCCCTGCCCCGCATCCTCAGCTTCATGCTCTTGCTGCGTCGGCTGCTTTGCTACTCTCTCTAGACTGTACTGAAGAGCAGGGTTGGTTTACACCCGCGCCCTTCCCTGCATCCTCAGCTTTATGCTCTTGCTTGGCTCGCTGGTTAAACCCAAATAGCTCTGGCCGTGGTGGCCGGCGGAACACGCCAACGGCGGTTAAATAAAGTTTTGAAAGAGCAGATCGTCAAGACGATCCGGTGTCGTGGGCTCAGCCATGCGGCCATGCGCTACTGCATAGCTTGTGACCCAGCGATTTCAAGCGACGGCTGTGAATTGTTAGTTGTTACAGGAGCGTCTCAAACCTGTTGGCCTTTGTTCTCACTTTCGTCATTATCTTCTTGGCGCAGGCTGGTTCCAGTTTCAGGATTCGATACCTCTGAGAGTAATGGTCCAAAGTTTGTTTGGTAGTACACATTTGGCCCAGTTCCGAACAAGATCTGGCCCCCGAAAAGTTCTGCAACATGACCTTTCTTCTGACATCAAGATTGAGTCATGTTGAAGGTTGAAACATGACACCCCCAGCACTTGAAACTTCCACCATTTTCCCCTCAAGTTTTTGCTGGCGATGTTGCAGCAGTGCAGGCAGATGATCGTTCCGTCACAGCGCTGATTCAGACGGGTGTGCAGAGTGACAAGCCCAGCAAGTCATGGCTGAGACACCAGAGATCTTCGTGAAGATCTCATACCTCCTGGCCTTCTGGTAGTTTCACTGGTAGTTTCACAGTTTGCAATATATATGACATATAAATATTATATATATATATATAAATATTATATATATAAATATTATATATATATATTTATATATATACTGTATAATATGTATATATATATAATATGTATATATATATAATAACTATATATAAATATGGTCCATGTAAGTTGATGATCCATCTCCATGAATTTCCATTAAACATGCTGATGATATGCTGATGTTTCAGCGCCCAAACGAGGTGCAGATGCCATTTGTGGTGCCTTGCTGGGCATTTTTTTGCCAACCCTTGTGGCGGCCAGTGGCACCCAGCAGCAATGGATGGAACATGGCTGCGGGTAGACATCAAAATTTCAGGGTTTAAACATGTTAAGTTGGTTTATCATAGAAAAATTGAACCTCATTTTTACATATGTTTTTTAAGTAGGATTCTAGCAAGAATGAACATGACCATAGAGTCCCCGTTTCTGGAAGATACGTGTGCGACCATTCATGCCATGACATGGTAGAATGTATTGCCAATGTATGTGTCCTGCATTCAGTTTTATGTTGTATCGGGAAATGATGTGTGCCGTATCGGGAAAGCCTGGGAGTCACTGGTGTTGTTGTTTGCGATCCCCGAGGTCTTCTTCGGAATTTTCCTGGAGGGTAGTCTCATCGATTCCAGGATTAGAAGGGTTGCCGCATGGTATCCGCATTATCTTTTTTTAAAGGCTCAGGCAACCTCTGCTTGTGACATGTTATTCAATTTTTCTTCAGCTAGCATTCCTACAAAACATCTCATTTTGTTGTTTTTTGTTTGGAAACGGACACAACTATGGTGGCTTTTCTGTTGGATTTCTCTGCTCATTCTCCCCGATTTGCTGAAAAAACTCTGTGGCCAGGCTGCTCTTCACGGTTTCTTCCATCCTGCTGGCCCTGAGCTTCATTACTTTGACACAGGTTGGTGATGATTGCTGTGGATTTCAATGGTGGATTTCCATATGGAACATGACGAACATGGGGAGGGCCAGGAGTTGGATGATGTGATATGCGGCTAGATGGATGATTGATGCTGGTACTGATAGTTATCATTATCCTTGCAATACTTACCATGAATTGGATGAAATACTGTAATGAATTTGTGTCTTGTCATAGCAAAGAGTTTCGGAATCCAGGCTTTGCTTTACCTTGATGCAGCCCGCCGGGAGCTCAATCTGGGGTGCTCGGGTATGAAAGTTCAGACGCCAGAGAGGTTGGAGTTTTCATCTCAGATAATTCAGTAAAAGTTCTGTTCCGTGGGAAGATGGAAACTCTAAAAATCATTCAAGAATTATGCGTCAATATGCTCCTTATTTTAAATATATATAGTTTGCAACCTGCCTTTCCAACTGTTCGGAGGGAAGCAACGCTGAGGTCCGATGCAGGAGAAAGTTCTGGCACTGCTGAACTTGTTCGGTGCTTAGGTGGACCAGAAATCATGCTGCGTTTCCACGGCGACAGCGCGACACCAAAGCCGCGAATCTGAGGTTCACAGAGAGCTGTTGGGGTTCCCAAACTGGGAAGGATTGTGGGACAGCAAGTTTCAGAAAACCATGTGGAAGTGGAATAGATCACGTTTACATTTATGCGAATTGTGGGAATGTTAGATGCATTTTTTAAAACTCTACCACATCAAATCCAACTTGCCTCAAATTGGATCAGATTTATAGATTAACCCAGGTCTTTTCTCAGAATAAATCATAATACATGATATCTTTCAGGAACGGCGCAATTGGTGTCACTAGTGTGCTATCGTTTGCTGAGGAATCCTGAAAAAGCCTAGAGAAAAAGACAGCAGCAGCTCGCAGACATGTTGGGAAGCGCATGGGAAGCCTTGGCACTTCATTTGTTTGTCAAACAGGGTACCTCAGTACTTGAGAATCTCAGTTAGATCATGTTAGATCATAATTTTCCCATTGAAATCCTGCATTTTTTTCTCTCTTTTTTTTGAGACAAACCTAAGTTGAAGCCATGATGGATCATTACCGGTTGAGATGGTTTTCATATCTAGTGATGGCAATGTGCAAGAAACTTGGAAGCTACCAAGACTGAGGGCCTGGATGAATAGCATGTGAATTGAAGGTGAATTTATGAGCTTGGATCAGATCTCCAAAATGGAGACGGAAGGCAGGATTCACTCTGACTTACTCTGAACAGAAAAAGGAACATTTCTAACATGGAGATGAAACAAATACAGTAGCCTCCCATATGGATGCAAACGTGTATCAATTGGCTTGCAACATATGTTATATAAATTTATATAAGTTATAAGGCAATTCCTGGATCATAAATTACTGACATAGCGAGGTTTGGCATGAAACATATCCATGAACAAAAGTCACAATGCAATTCTCAGTGAGTTGTCACAGTGACCCCCAAAAAACTGTGCCATGGAGAGCGGCTGGCGAGAACTATGGCAGCAGGTCGTCCCTTTGGCAAGAACACAGGTGAAACGCCGAAAACACAGCTATTCCAAAGCTTTAGTATCGTAGCTTCCATCCTATACATCTATAGCTTGTCAATTTCATGATCACTTCCGATAATTTTCTAGACTTCATCTACATATATCTACATCTTATTTCATGATCAATTCCAATATCACCATTCTGAAGCTCCATGGCTTTCCCTAGGACGGTCTGGGCATAGAGGGCCTAGAGAACCTGGGTCCTCCCGACGTGGACCGCGTCACCTCCGTGGAGGGCCGCGGCAACGAGCGCCCGGCGGCGGAGCGCTCCCAGATCTCCCAGCGCTCGCCGTCCTTCGCCAGCGCCGGCTTCGGCGAGGGCCGCACCAGTCAGGTGGGATGGGGTGTTGGTGGTGGATGGTGGTGGATGGTGGTGGAGCTTGGGCTATGGAAAAAATGATGGAAAAATTATACATAAGTTATATATACCCTGATTCAGCAAATTGCGTTTTAGGTGCCTTGTGCCCCTATACCATCCTATAGATCAAATACAATGAAATCCTATCAAGATATTGGAAAATGTTTGTGCCACTATGACGCTTAAAATCGGAGGTGGTGGAAAAACTGGGACGAGTGGAGGATCAAATTGGACAGCTGGGAAAAGTGGTGCGGGTCGACGAGCAGATCTTGCGACTGGGACGAATCGAAGAGCAGCTGGGTCGACTGGGGCGAATGGAAGAGCAGCTGGTGCGGATGGAAGACAAAGTGGAAGATGGCTTTCGACGCTCCAAAGAACAGCTGGATGAACGGTTTCGCAGATCTATGGACCAGATGGATCCTGGATGGCAAATGGTCCTGGGTGAAGAGGTGATATCTTGGTGCAAGAAGCAAGATGGTACAATACGGTATGACGGTATGACTTTATCAACGACAAATCCGTAAACTGCCAGGGGTAGTGACCTTGTTTGCTGGCGTATGCTGGCATCACATCTCACTTTTCCATACTTTTCCATACTTTTCCATACTTTTCCTATCCGTTTCCCCACTTTTTGCAATGTTTCACCCACCTTTTCCAAGGAAAAACTCTCCGAACGGCAGTCCTCTCTGGAAAACACCGTGTCGAAGCGCCAAGCATCCTTGGAATCCGACGTCTCGAAACGGCAGTCATCACTGGAAGCAAGTCTGGAAGCCAGCAAGGGTGCCAGCCAGGCTGCAGATGACCTGGGGATCTTTAAAATGAAGCTCCAGCATGATTGGCGTGAAAAGACATCTAGATGTCATATCCGATCTCATCTGATTGAATTCATATATCTTCAATTGGTGAACAATTGTTTTTTTTTTGTGTGTAAGTCGAAACAGGAAAGCAGAAAGCCCATATTTCATCGGAAAAAAACATGGTTTCCAAAAACCCATGTTCCCTGAATCACCTATGAGGATCCACTAGGGAAACCGTCCCCATCAGGTGAGTCGGAGTCTCGAGGTTGCCCTTGACCGAGTGGAGGTGTGACTTGGGGATTTTTTGAGGAATTGAACCTGGGAAATCTGGGAATCTGAATTATGGTGACATGTAGAATGTAGAAATATACTAACATATATACTTAATAATATTTAATAAGTATAATCTTGAATATATTAATTAACATTTACTAAAGCATACTAAACTATCTATTATATACTTAATATATGGTTTCCATGATACTAAAATAGACTAAAAATGCTCTCATCCTCTGCAGGGCCTTCGTAGGGCCGGGTCATGTTGGATGGCCGTAGAATTTGGCAGACAGAAATCGCTGCTTCGAAAATAGGGTAGCCGTGGCTTGGTAGCCCCAAATCCATTGGTTGATCATCACCCCCCCTAAATGGCCATGAAATGGCCACGAAATGGCCATTACCCTCTGGTAAACTAACAGTTTGCTATTGAAAATGGCCATTTATAGTGAGTTTTCCCATGAAAAATGGTGATTTTCCATAGCTATGTAAACGTTTACCAGAGGGTAAATGGCCCCTCGACTTCTGGAGTCAGATGTGGTGTTCACGCTTCGAGCGGTCTCGGCTTCGAGCGGTGCAGGAGAGGATCTTGCAACGCTATGCCAACCTGGAAGAAACCGTGTCTCCAAAACGAGCTTTGGATGAGGCCATGGCCCTGGCCATCGATGCTTATCGATGGATATAAAACGGATATGAAGGATGCGAGCCCAGGTATTTTCCATGACTTATCCACTTCCGCTTGCGTCATTCTCATTTGGGGATATGTAGGTTATTACGCGGGATTCATGATGTGAGTGAATAGTGAAGTTCGAGAAAGCGGAGGCAATGGCAAGAACCTTTTTGTTTGTTCTAGTGGTGACTGGCAATGTGGCTTGGATAGCCCAAATTGTCATTCTGTTGCTATCCCTGACTGCATCTCAAGCCTCCATTTAGTTTGATCATGTTCCATATTTTCCCTCGAAAATTCCATAGGAGACTTCCCAGCCATGTTCAATTCCCAGAGGGTAACCCAAATCATTCGTGCCTGCAGGTGACTCGTCGCCTTGACTCAGTGATAGACAACTTGGAGGCGCGGTGATACTGCCAGTTGCTGTCCAACCTGTACCCGAGATCCATCATTTGTGGCTGGTGGTCGCTATTTTGGGCTTGCGTTTCTCCAAAAACGAGGTGCACCGGGGTCCCACCATGTCCCACCATGTCCCACCATGTCCCACCAAAACGACTGACAGGCAAAACTGGAATCCCGGATGTCGCGGAGCGAAGAGCAGGTTTTGCAATCGATCTCGCGAAACCGTGGTGAGGCATGACATGGATGACATGGGTGTTGACATGTCAATACATGTCAAACCATCCCCTCAAACCATCCCCCAAACCACAGCGTTGGAATGGAGGGCAGGCATTTCTCGTGAATGCTGGCAGGTTTCCAAGGTTTGTAGCATCAACTCGAGTCCTGATACTTCAGGAATTTAATTAGAAGATATTAGAAGTATTTATAGATCATTTCAAACCTTCTTGTGACAAAAAAACTTGCATGAAAACTAGTCATAGCATCCTGGACCAACTTGGTCCTGTTTGTCGAACTTCTCTGCACGGACAGTGTCTCGAATGCTGTCGCGCAAGGAATTCACGACCTTGCTGCACTGACGGGGGAACTCCGGGCACACGTCATGTTGGAGGTACGAGTTGTGTGTTCGTTGCAGGAAGAATAGGCACTGGTAGAAAGCATGGAAACTGCATTTAATCATTGAACTATTATAATATTATATTCTATTATCTTATGCAAACTTCAAGCAACCCCCCCTTGAACCGCCAAAATGAGACTGAAATGCCGTCGATCTGGCAATGCTTCACTTGGCGCCATTTTGGCATTGATTCTCTGGACTTTCAACGGTCGTTCTCGACAACTTACAGCCCTAGATAGCCCTAGGGATCTTATAATGGCATTATAATGGGTGACCAAGTAAGGGTGATTCTCATATGTTTTCCGCTCAAGCTGATGGTCGAGGTAGTTGCCCGTATCTTTCAGGGCATAGAGCTCTTGCGGTGGGGTGTGGTCACAAATTGGTGGGGGCTTGGTTGCCCGGCTCACTGTGGATCCGCTTCTTTTGCTTCTTGGGCTCTGGCTTTCATCCTTGGACTTTGCTGTGGATTTTGCACTTGTGCTGTCCTGGGCTATCATCTCCTTGGATTTTACCTGAGGGTTACTGCCCCCCATCATCCAACTCCTTCAGGTGCCAATCCTTCCCCTCATCGCCTGGGGGGATACGTGTATGAGTGATCAGCGGGTGGACAGGTTGGCTGAAAAGGTTGATCAACTTTCCTCACAAGTGGCTGATTTGGCGGGTGCAGTCCAAGCCCTTTCTTTGGCTGTTGCTACGCAGGTCCAAGGCCAATCTGTGATTTCAGGTCCACCCTGCACATCCTACCAAGTTGTGTCCTCTGCTGCCTCTGCTGCGTCTGAACCAGTTCAGACCTCAGAGCGATCCTTCTCTAGCAACGGCGAATACAACAGCTTGGCCGCTGAGATCCCTTCAGTGCCTGATTTTTGCGTATCTCTTTGTGGTTCCCTTCGAGGAGGTTCACTTTCCTTTAGAGAGAGAGCAGCCCGAGCTTGGGAGTCTGGCTGGTGGGCGAGGTTCACATTGGCAGGAAGAATTTCAAAGCCAAGGCCTTCGAAGGCTTGTGACGTGCGCAACACCATCTACGTGGTCCTCAAGGCGGAAGGATATACCTGTCCTCTCTACGTGTCAAGTGGCGCGCAGTACAGGACAATTGTGGGGGACTTCACAGGCCCTACTATCTCACACGGGTTTGGAAGCCTCGCTGAGGCAAAAGTCTACGCCTTGGGTGCAGGAGTCACCTTGCCGAGCGCACCTTTGCAATGGAGCTCTCCGGCGTGAATGCAATTCAAGAAGGGTTTCAAGAAGTCTATCAGCTAGCGTGGCCAGTGGAAGCTGGGGGGGAGGATGCCCACCTCAGCCTATGCATGGTGATTATGAAGAGAGAGGGCGGTGTTTTGCTGGCGGTTCCTTCAGGTTTCATCCCTCCAGAGGCTTTGCAGCTTGCCTCAAGTCACGATGGAGGAGCACTTTTGGGTCCCCATACAGTTTTATCTGTGCCAGGAGTTTTGTTGGATGGAGATGTATCCCACACTACTGGAGAGGACCTAGATGTTCAAGTGGTGGACGCAAGTTTGGCTATTTTGGATGGCCTCTCTCACTTGCCAGATGGAGGGGTCGAGGAGGATGCGGCAATCATTGCTTTTTCTACGGAGTTTCAAGTTGTGCCAGACCCAGCCACGCTCCTGAGGTTTGCAAAGGAGTGGCTCGCAGTTGCGGGGCCAGGCAGGTCAGTGTTTTACTCTGCGGTAGAGGAGTTCGAGCAGGCAGATCCTCAAAATGCGGCTGCGAAGGAGGGCAAGGCCAAGGCCCCAAAGGCAAAGGCAGCAGAAAAGGCAAAAAGGGCGTCAGCTCAACAGGTTGCGGAGCAGATCCAGCACTTGTCCAAGATGATGCCCATCATCACGACCGCTTTGACTTCAATTCAAGAGGAGCAGAAGCGGCTTCAACAGGTTGTGGAGGGCGCAGCAATGTCTCCCCCCCCTCGGCCTACGCAAGTGCCGGTTTCTATGAGCATGCAGCAGTTTGCCAAGTTGATGGGGCCGCCTCCGAAAGTGAGAGGGACTGCCCTGGCCTCTCCGCCTCCCAAGAAGGCACAGATGCCAGCTGCATCGATGAACTTAGATGTGGCGGGACAGGAAGAAGGTCAGCAGGTGGAGGAGGAAGAGGCTCTGGGGAGAGGAGACAGCCTTGCCTTGGCAGTTTTGGAGCAGAGCAGGGCTCTCACCAGCCTTGTGACACATATCCAAGCAGGAGGAGACCCACTGTTGGACCATCACCTGACAGGAGTCTCTTCCACGACAAAGGGGGCCCAAGGCAGGGAGAAGCTTCAGCAGGAGCTAGCAGCGCGCAGCGGAGGTTTTTGTCTCGCTGTTGCCCAGAATGCGTTCAAGCGGCTGAGACCGGCATCCAAAGTTCCCAGCACCCTGGAAGAGATCTCCGCAACAGACTTTTCAATGCTGACCTACCTGGAGCGTTTTGGAGGTTACGGAAATTCCAGAGATCTGGGATTGATGCAGTATGCCCTCAGCTTTGTTTTGGACTGTGCCATCAGAGGAGATCTAGACGGGGTCCGAGAGCATGCGGCTCTGATGGCAGTGGGCCTGGAGCAGGCGGCACAGGATCAGGGACGGTGGGACTTAGGCTTCCAACTCATGTTGCTGGAGGACCCACCGACGCAGATGTGGTCATACAGGGGGGGGGCTTCCCAACTCGGCAGGGTGAGGGCCTTCTCACCCTTGTGCCCTCAGAAGTGGGCGACCATTGCCCTTGCCTATGCGAAAGAAATCGATTTTATACAGGCAAGGAGAGTGGACCTTCAAAAGAGGCCTCCCGCTCAGCCACCTGCAGCTGTTCCAGCCTCTCCCAAAAAGAAATGGGGGGGGGGAAAGTCCAAAGCAAAAGGCACAGGAGGAGGATCAACGCCGCAGTCAGCAGAGGCAGAGCAGGCTTGAAACATGGATTTGGCCAAGATGGTGCTGCCCTAGGTTCTGCTCCCTCACCGAGCTCTTCATCATCAGAGCGGCCCTCTGGGCCCGCTATTTTCGGGAGGGGAGAGGACCTAGATAGCAGCATTGTGGAAACACAAAATGGGAAAACTATAAGCAGAGGCTATGACTGCATTTCCCATAGTCCACTGGAGTTGGACGAAGGAATTCAGCAGCTGCATCAATCCCACAAAGACAGGAGTGCAGCTGTACCCGATGCAAGAGCAATTTGCCCCCTGGAGGTGAGAGAGGTTTCTTTTGCGGCTTGGCCATCTATGTTGCTTCGTCAATTATTTGCGTCAAGGACCCCTTTCTCATTTTTCCTGAGGCAGTGTATCCTCATGTGCAGAGGCTCTCGTGATGAAGCCTCAACCGCCTTGTTTCCTTTGCCCTTCCCTCTTGGTGACGTGTGGTGCAGAGGCCCAGAACATCTAGGAGTCAGCCAGCGGAGCAGATTGGCGGTGCGGAGGTCCTTGTATCTGGCCATTGCGGCCTTGAACTTCGTGCACTTTCAATGCCCCTTGAAGGTGATCCCTGGTCTCTGGAGGTGTCCAGGTCCCTTGCATGCGGCAGTGCATGCCAGGTTGATCGCGCTGATCAAGGCGAGTGGTCCTGCTGGGAAGTTTTCTTTTCTCAGTTGTGGTCGCAAAGCTCACCAATTAGATGCAAGGCTGACGGAGCTTCATGAAGCCTTACAAAGTTTGGGCTTTGATGAGGGCTCCTTTTACAAAAGGCAACATGAGGGAGCTGAGGTGAAGCCCAGGAATGACAAAGAGGAGCTGAGACCATACAGGCCACTGGATGCGTCGCGTTTGAAGTTGTCAGGTAAGGGCAGCTGGGACTGCCGTGAGCACCTTTCGGACCTGCTGTATATGCCATTTGTCGAACCACGGTCAAACCAATATGATGTGGTTCCTCCAGCAGCAGTTTTGCCAGACATGAGCAAGGTGTCGGCTGAGGAGACATTGAGGCTTTGCAAAGTTTGGGATGCGCAGGGTTTGTTGCGACTTTTTCCTTGTGCATTGGGTCCCATGCATAGTTGGTGCTATACCAAGGTGTTCAACAACTTCAAATCAGCTCAAGTTGACAGACAGATTGGTGACAGGCATGGCCAGAACTTCACAGAAGGAAGGATAGAAGATGGACCATCTCATAGCTTGCCTACTGCCGCTTCTCTGCTTGCCATTTGCCCAGAGAGATATCAGCAGTGCTTGGTTGGGTCAGTTGCAGATAGGAGGGATTTTTACCACCAGTTTTTTGTGACTGATGAGCGGGCCAGAACAAACGTTGTGCTGCCTCACCTCGCATTGGAAGATTTGAATGGCACTCAGGCATTTGCAGTTTATGATGAGCAGTTTTTGCGTGAGAAGAGAGTCAAGCGGCGAGAGGAGGTTGGTGACTTCCTGCACAGGCCAGCTCCTCTTCTGGTCCCCCATCATGATGATACGGTCGTTTGTGCTTTTGCGGCGCTGTTTCAGGGTGATCACTTAGGGGTTGAGTTTGCCACCGAAGCTCACTCAAGGATGCTACAGAGCTATGGGCTGCTAGATGAGGACAGCCGTCTTCAAAGCTCAAGGCCGCTTCTTTGGGATCAATGCGTGTCAGGGCTTGTGATTGATGATTTCTTTGTGGTTTCGAAGGAGCAGATCAATCCAGGAGGTTCCTATCTTGAGTCACGATCTGTTGAGCATTTCAGGGTTGCAAAAGCGGCATATCAGCAGGAAGGGTTGCAGGGGTCTGACGACAAGGATGTCATCGGGCAGACACAGTTCACGGTTTGTGGTGGTGAGGTCTGCAGCAATGAGGCGACTGTCCGAAGAGGAGCTGTTACTATTGCAGCTCCCTTTGAAAAGAGGATGGCCCTAGCAATGATGACAGCCTCAGCCTCCGCACTTCCTGCAACTTCAGATGCGCTGCTATCATGCCTTGTGGGTTCATGGATATCAGTTGCTCTTTTGAGACGGCCTTCTATGTCCATTTTGGATGAGGTGTTCAAGGTTATCCCACCTGGTCAACTTGATCCTCAGTGTCCAGTGGTACGGTTTTTTCCTCGTGCGGCAGCCTCGGAGCTTCAGCAACTTGCATGCCTTGCCCCGGTGCTGAGCAGCAATCTTGCAGTACCATTTGCCACGGACGTTTTCGCAACAGATGCGTCATTGGCAAAGGGTGGAATTGTGAAGAGTGAAGTGACTTCAGAGGAGGCAGCTATCCTCTGGAGGACCGCAATCAAAGCAAAAGCATCAGCGCCTGTGCTCTCAAGAACCCAAGCGATGCTCTCCCTTTATGACCCGATGTTTGAGGAGACTGCAGAGGAGAGGGCCGGTCCGTATGAGGGCTTGAAGCTTTTTGAGGAGGATTTTGCTGAGGAGGATGGATGTGCTGCCCAGACCGCTGTCTCTAGACCTATTGGCTTGCGCTATGAGTTTATTGAGATATGTGGTGGTGCTGCAGTTGTCACCAAGGAGATGATCAAGCTGGGAGTCATTTGCGGCCCTGTGATTGACGTTTCTATTTCAAGGCAGTTTGATCTGAGGAACCACCGGGTCATTGAATGGATCATATTCCTTTTGGAGGACAACAGACTGCAGAGCTTTTTGGTATCTCCCCCATGTACCTCCTTCTCTCCTGCAGCTCATCCTTGCGTCAGATCTTATCAAAACCCCAGAGGTTTTGACCAGGAGAATCCCAAAGTGAAGGTTGGAAACCAGCTTGCGTTTGCTTCTTTGGCATTGATGATGGTTGCTTTGAGGATGGAGAAATGTGGACTGCTGGAACAGCCCAGGAGGAGCAAGATGCGCTGGCTGAAGGAGTGGAAGAGGCTCTTAGAGCTTGGAGCGTGTGAGACCTACACAGCCTCTTGCATGTTTGGATCCATTCACCAGAAGGAGTTTGCTCTGCTTGGGGTGAATATGCATGTGGGGCTGCTGAAGAGGAAATGCAGCCGTGATCACGAGCATGTGGTGATCCAAGGGCAGTATACCAAAGCTTCTGCCACTTATTGCCCAGGTCTAGCCTTGGCATTTGCCATCTTCTTCAAGGACCACATTCGAGCAATCGAAAGGGCGAGCAAGAGGCTGAGTGTTCCTGCAGCGGGGCTTGAGGATGTGCTGAGCAATGATGTCTGCATCAGCCTCCCTTGGAGCAATTATGCAGCCTGGTGTTGGCAGGGCTCATCGCATATCAATGTTTTGGAGCTAGCTGCAGTTGTGAAGCTTTTGAGAGATCTAGCAAGAGATGGAGGAGACAGGAGGCAGGTTGTTTTTGTGGACTCTCAGGTTGTGCTGTGCGTTTTGGCGAGAGGCAGATCCTCAGCGGCATCCTTGCGGGATCTTCTGAAAAAGGCCTGTGCTTTATCCATTGCTTTTGGGATCTATTTGGCACCCAGATATGTGCCAACTCGGCTGAACCCTGCTGACTGCCCCACCAGAGACACGGACCTACCTGAGCCGGGAAGGTCAATTTTGGGTGGACTTCATGACCCCCAGGCATCCTTCCGCCTTGCTTCCATCAGCTCTCTGAGACGTTGGATTTCAAACTGGGCCCGTCTCTTTCTCTTGCTGTCTCCTGCATTTATCCTCTTTCCCTGCTCCTCCAGGCGGCACAGCCCAGAGCCCATCAATCTGCATGAATGGACTTTGGACTTTGATTCAACCCTTGGATTTCCGGGTGAGGGACCACAGGGGCTTTGGTTTTGGGTTCTCCTGGCTTCTACCGTTTGTGACCATGCCATAGGTGTAGGAGTAGGGGATGCGAGCCATGCTGATGCGGTGCGGCGCGAGAAGCGTGCTGGCATAGTCTTGGAAGATGGCAGACGTGTGACCGAGGCCACTGCGAATGTGAGGGATGTCCTTTTTGAGCGTTTTGAGGGGTGGCTACAGACTGAAGGCATGGCTTTGCAGGATGTGCTGTTTGCGCAACCCCCTGACCTTGATCTTCTCAACAGAGTACTGGTAAGGTATGGAAGATGGTTGTTTGAGCAAGGCAAACCCCTGTACCACTTTTCAGAGACTGTCAATTCGGTAGCAAACAAGCGGCCTATGGTGCGGCGTTCTCTCCAGCAGAGCTGGGATCTGGCGTTCATGTGGTCATCACATGAACCAACAACTCACCATGTCGCAATGCCCCATCAGGTTTTGGTTGCAATTCTTTCTGCTGCATTATACTGGGGGTGGACTCGAGAGGCCGCAGTTTTTGCTTTAGCATGGGGTGCACTGCTCAGGATTGGGGAAGTACTGGATGCTTTTCGTGCCGACCTGATCCTCCCATCTGACATTGACTATACCAACAGTTTTGGGTTGCTCAGAATCAAGGAGCCAAAAACGCGGTTTCGGACTGCCAAGCATCAGTCAGGGCGCCTTGATCAGCCGGACTTGCTGGAGGTTTGAGAATTGGTTTGGGCCGACTGAGGCCATCAGAAAAGCTTTGGCCGCTTTCAGGAGCCACTCTGAGGTCTCGTCTAGTCAAGCTGCTGACAAGACTAGATCTGCCGACTGAGAACCATCAGCAACCAAAGCCTATGACTCTTGCAAGCTTCAGACCTGGGGGTGCAACATATATGATGACTGTTTGCGACAACGCTGAACAAATCAGACGTAGAGGGCGCTGGGCTTCTTTGCGAGTGATGGAAGTATACTTGCAGGAAGTGATGGCTTCCACGTATCTGAACCAGATCAGTGAAGGTAGCAAACAGAAAATCTTACTCAGCATGAACATGTTCCCTCAGCTCCTGGCACAAGCAATTAAATATGATGCATGTCAGATACCAGCAACTACCTGGTATTTTTTGTTTCGACAGCAGCAGAGAGACTGAACTGATGTTTAAAGTGGGGTTTTGGGTGGCTGATGTAAAGTCATGGTGCCAGCTACCATCCACACGAACAACCCGAAGGCACAGAGGAAAACCAAGAGTTGAGCCCTTGACCAAGTAAGGGTGATTCTCATATGTTTTCCGCTCAAGCTGACCCACCTCCACCCCTTAACGCCTCCTGTCCCTGCTGCTGTCTCTTTCTTATGGTTGTGGCTGGGTGGCTGATGTAAAGTCATGGTGCCAGCTACCATCCACACGAACAACCCGAAGGCACAGAGGAAAACCAAGAGTTGAGCCCTTATATAACTAGCTCAAGTACCTACTTGAATATCATGAAAAACTCTGGAATTGCTATGTCGGATGTTAGGTCAAGGGTCCCAAGGGTTGGTTTCTGGCAGGAGCTCATAATGGAGTTGAGCCCGATGTTGGAGGACTCATCTTTGCGCGTTGCAAAGACCTTGGACGAGAGTCGGTCCCCAAGTGGATGATGGGGGTACCCCTAGTTTTTTCCCTCGATGGTGAAAAATGGGTGAACAATGGGGTTCACACACTTCATGAATTTCCTATTCATTATTCAACATGCCCATAAAATTGATGTATACCGTACCCAGGTTTTGCATTCACTCAGATGAAACACACCCAAAGACAAGTAGTGACGGTTGGGTGTCTTCGGTCGTTCCCTCTGTGTGTTTTTCGGCTCCACCATTATTCAAATCGCCTTTGGGTCAAACAGTGAAACACTTCTGCAGATTCGCCGATAGTGACCTCACCAGGCATCATCTTACTGGTGCTATATATGGAATTTTCGGGAATGATCCCAGTCATCACTAGTTTCATGTCATCATCCCAGCAACCCCCAGCAACCCATCCAGCAACCCTACGTAGTTTCGCACCGCACCAATAAGTCATTGGAGTATACGGGGAATCCCCAGATGTTTCAATCCCATAGGATCCATGGTGCTGGTATATTAATGCTAACAAAAATGGGGTATATTGATGGGATCCATGTTACCATAGCAGCACCATGGATCCGTCATGGGAATGGCATTAATCCAATCATCCACTCCGTCCAATTCCACTGGATGATCCTCCTGAGGCATGTCCTCCCTGGCCGAACGAATGGAGAAACACTCGGATTCGCTCAGGAGATGGTTGGCTGATGATGGCCATCTCTTTTTGGAATTTCATCATTCGATAGTAGTTTGATCAATGTGAAGACTTCAGTCAATTCTCTATCTTCCCAACAAAATTGGGAGATGTATGGAGATGTCACTTAGATTCACTTAGTATTAACTCACTGGCAATGATGTAAAGATATGTAAAGTAACAGAGAGTAACACCATGGGCTCATCATGGCGCTACCATCGGGCGGCGGCGCAGGAAATCGGTGCAGGCAGATCTGGGAACCATCGCCAAACGCTGCGAATTGATGACTGAAGCCATGCGCAGCCGCACGGAGGCGGCGAAAAAACCGGAGGATCTGCTCCCATGGAAGGACCACCTTACAGGGTAAGTGATATGGAGCAAAGATGGAGAGAAACTGAGAGAACTACCGGGATTTAGTTTTTATGAGATTGGGAATATGTTTGGGTTTAACCCCCTTGAGAACCACAGATGTCAATATTTCGTAGATCTTACCGCAACCATTTTGGCCTCTCTCACGCCGCCAGGCACTCAATGAACAGGCTCACTCCGCGCGGCAGGTGGGTAAAACCATTGGATGGAATGTTCAGCAACCAAAATGCTGCCTCTGGTAATCAAAGATGGCAATGGATAATTCTCCATTTATAATATATTCATAGTTGATCTTCTCAACTATATTAATTATAAACATAATTAGATAGAATTATAAATTATAAATATATAGATTATATATAAATGACGATAAATGCCCATTGATATTATTGAATTTCACAAGGTCTTGGGTTTTATGTTTTTTTAGGGTATATTGGAGTTCAAAGTCAAAATGCATCATTTCGAGCAACCTGCGCGCAGACGGGTCGGGAGGAGAAGTGCAATGGGAAACGGTTGGAAACAGTTGGGGCTCCTACCTTTGACTCGGCAAAAAAAGAGCTAATTTTTTAAAACCATTTAAGGTTCATTTTCTTTATTCCGACTGTTTCCGACTGTTTCAGTTTCTCTGGAAGGCCTGTTTCACCTGTGGACCACTGATTCAAAAACATCACAACATTCAACACACTTCCTCGCGACCCTTCTGCGCGCAGGTTGCTCGAAATGATGCATGTTGACATTGAAACCCAATATACCACAAATTCAAAAATCCCAAGACATCGTGAAATTGAAGAATTGATATGGGAATTTCCCATTGCTATCTTTGATTATTGGGGGGGTAAGCGATTTAATGATCAACACATGCAGATTTGTCAGGTCCCTTCAGCATCGCAAGCGATGATGGACCGGCAACTGTCAACCATTTCGGTGGAGGAGATGTTGACAGCTGGTTTTCGGTTTGCTGCGTGAAAAGTCCAAGGATTATATGGACGATTAAATGGATATAATAATGGTTAACAGTGGTTAACAGTGGTTAATAACTGTTAATAGACTCATTATATTCATCATATCCCATTGCGTGATGATGATTGACGATAGTTGACATGTACCTTCCTGTAAACAAAAAAAGAGATGTGGAGTTTACCCACCATTTGTCGATCATTTTCAAAGGGACATGGGTTTTCCAGATCTCTGTTACCCTAGGGTATAATTTCTCCATACTTTCACTAAGGGTCTCAGATGTGAATTGCACAAATTGACGCATGCTGCATGCTGATGATAGCTTCACGAACTTATGATCAGCGGGTATCAACAGTCTGAACTTTGCCCCTTGAAACAGTTTGTGCAGGACATTCCTGCGAACGACGGATATCAGTTGAATGAAATCAGAGGCAGCCGCTATGCAGTTGCTCAGGGGGCACTGCCACTGGAGTAAACTAGCTTTGTTAAACTAGGTTTGTTATGGTTTGTTAATAGGCTAATCTCATTCCATCAACATCAATGGTTTATACTAGATGGTTCAAGCTGTTTTTTTTTCTCCAATGAAGTTCAATGAAGGGTTTAAAACCGCCATTTTCGCTATCTTTCAATGCGGACCATTGCATCCGTTTTTTTTAACTATTTTGCTGATATTGCTGCCATCTTGCAGGTTGCACTGAAGCTTCCACGGATCACTACCTGGAACCTTTCGTAACACATTGTTTGCTGTCATTGTTTCATTGTGTTATGTCTCAACCTTTTTCATCATTTTCCCAATCGCTTTCATCCTTCGTTCAATCATGTTCATCGTTTTTCAATAGTTGTCATCCTCTTTGCCACTATAGTTTTTACCATTATTTTGATGATTTTCATCAATCTTCATAATTCTGTCAATGCTACCGGGTTCCGTTTTGCTTTTCAATCGACTTTTACTTCCTGGTGCTAAACGTTTTTGGGGGACTGGGAACATTGTTTTCATGGTAATGGATTGAATAATTCCTCATTCCCTACGTTTAGCATGAGTTTACTCCGCGAAACTAAGCCCGCCCAGTTATGGTGGACAATGGCATTCAATTCCTTGCAGATCGCTTGGTGGTCCTGCATCGGGAGCTCATGGAGGCGACTGTGGAGCATGGCGCCATTTTTCACCCCGTAGGATTGGTTTTTTCATGGGGTTTCAACCATCGCTGATAGGGTTTTAAGATGTTTTTACCATCAAAAGTAGGGTGGTGATACATTGACAGATGATGGTTGATGGCTTATTGTAGGGAATAACCAAGCCTGAAATCCTCCCTTTGTTTGAAAGGAGTATCAAGAATGTGGAAACCCTAAGCCCCAAACCCTCCTTGTAGGGATTGAAGCCCCTGTTTGTTTATGGTTGATATTCATGTGCAAATAAGAAAATAGCTGCTAGTTGTGGATGTTGATTTCCCTATGAACATATGCAAAATAATAGGTTGCATGACCTATCCCATCATCCCCTACATCCATTGTTGTTAGCTTGGGTCCCCATTGTTGAGGATTAGATAGCTATCCCTTGCCATTCCGCTCCAGATCTACAGCGCCATCACCAAGACTGGTCAGGTCGTAAACGACCTGCGATAGATTTTGATCCCTGGGTTGTTTTGGGGGCTTGCCATTTTGGTCGACTTAATGGGGATAGCCGCTTCTAATCAATCAAACCGGTGTTGATTGATCCATTTGATCCGGGGCTGAATCATATTGCATCCCCCTGTTTGATGGTTAACCCCAATGTTTGATGGTCAAACGGTTGAAAGCTTCATTTTTCGTGGTGAACCCCAAAATTTGATGGTCGAAGTATGTCGAAGTCCAACCAATCAAATGTTTAATCATTATCCTGCAGTCGATAATCGCAAGCTGGGGCCTTTCACATGGCACATGAACGAAACGGGGGGGAGGGGAAACTCAAGATGCCAAGAATGGATACGAATGGGATCTGCATGCATTTGGCAGGTTTTTTGAAGTCAGCCCGCACAAAGAACAGATCTACCATGACAATACTTGTTCCCACGGAACAGTTTGTTTCCTTTGACCCAGCACTGAACTTCTGAAGTCTTTCTTGGGCTAATTCGTTGAGCAAAGACCAACCAGTTGCACATTTTAGTAGCTGGCATTATTTACTGATCCAAAAGATATCAAAGGATACTGAGACGCAGCTTTTCGATATTCTTTTGAACTTGAGAGGAAATGGAGCTGATTCATATGTGCTCCGGTTTCCTCTGTGCGCAGGTTGCTCATATCGGAGCTTCTCCAGGTTGGGTTTGTGAAGTTGGATGCGAAGTGCTCCGTATTTACTCCAGACCCTCGTGAGCTTTCGTACTTGATGTAGAAACGGAATGAAACGCATAGAAACGGATAAGAATAGTGATATGGTGACACCCTCAACAGAATGATTTCGACACTTGGCTCTTTAGATTGACAGCTCCAAGGCTCCAAGTGCCGTTTTGCGCATTTTTGCGCCAGGCGTGTTTGGCACCTCAATGCCGAGTACCTTGGGTCCCATGGGTGGCTGCGGAATGCCTGGCATGGCCGGAATGGTTGGAATGGCGAGTCCCACGCTGAGTCCCCAATTGGCCCAGCCGGCCATGCCGGACCCCAACGTGGCCAACGTGGCCATGGCCATGGCCCAGGGCCAGAGCCATGGCGGCCATGGCGAAGGCCACTGGGCCGACATGGCTGGAATGGCAATGTGTCAAGGAATGTGCCAGGCACAGATGGGCCTGGAAGGAGAGGGAACTCAGCAACTTGGCGCATCTGAAGGTGTTGGGAATATTTGGAAATGGGGTGTTACCTGGTTTTACCATGTTTTACCATCTCTAAGAATTGGATCTTACCATCCAAAATGCCAAAAGACGGCGGTTTAACTCATCCAAAATGGGGATTTAGAGCTAAACCCGCAAAGTGGTCACTTTTAAAAACAATGATGAACCAGCAGAGTTTTTGGTACTCTATTTTCGGACAAACCCACATGAATGGGGGAGGGAATTCCATTTTTTTTTTTGTGTGTGTGTGTGTGTGGCATGTGATGAACATCATAACTACCAGCTATGGACCAATATTTTGATCCAGAGGCAACTGTGTCAAACACATTCTACCGCAAGATGAAAACACAGATGTCAAGTATGTGACTGCAGCATTTAGCAGACCAGAAAGGGATGACAAAAACTGAGCTCGATCGAAGAATGACCTTAGATGGACCGCAGGCTGCTTGACAGACTCTGGCCATCCTGCTCTCCTCCTCGTTCTCCTTCTCCTTCTCAGTCGGAAAAGATCGAGCATCAACAAGCACTAATTAGTTATGTCTTGGCACTATTCCCGGAGGTTGCTCCCTTGACCCAGAGATTCTCAGCTTTCTGCTGTGCTGTCAAGACTCTGTGAGGCAAGAAACTTCCTATGACCTGTTAGGCGCGGGTTGAGTTTGGTGAAGTTTTGATTGGTTTGCAAGAACGTGCCCGCGCCATTTGTGACGGGCATGATGTATCATATTTGAACATGTGGTTGTCTTTTTGTTTGCACAGTACGATGAAGCATGAAATCGTATCCTGGGATACATTGAATTTTGAACCTAACCACAAGCACAACCATAATCAACAGGCGAATCCACAGAACCGGCACCTAGCTGAGTCAAGGCAAATTCAAGGCATGAAAGGTTACCAAAAAAGCAGACCCTGACACTCCTGTTGCTTGTCTGGAAAGCATTTGGGTGCCTTTCAATATCTTCCAATGGCAATTTCGGCAGATTCTGGTGACGATTCGCCGCCTTTGCCATCGTAGCTTGGTGATGTGTGGTATCAATTGAAAAGGGTGTAGCATGTCACCGTTGCAATGGGATTCTCTGGGAAAACATGCAACACATGTTTGATATGTCGGGTTGAAGATTTTCAAGACTGCGCTTCGAATTTCAGATGACAGATTTCCTCATAGGCGGACTCGAAGATTCTAAGGCCGAATGGCTTCGGCGCAGGCAATGGCCCTGAAGAAACACATGGAGGGGTCAATGCCTATCACTAACATGATTTTTTGGGGATGAACATCTACCAGTTATTTTGAGGCTTCACCAGGATACCAGGGGGGCTGACTCATACCCATACGACCCATACGCAGGCAGACGTGACATGACCGCTCCTCTCCCAGCATTGTCCCATGGTTCCTGTCCAAACGCGCTGTCCCACAGCAACCACAGAATTGTAGCCAAACCAGTTGTTTAGTTTTCTTGCGCAGATGGGTATGGATCAAAGATGATCAAAGTATTATACCCATCAAAAAAAAAAATCCCACCAAGCTTCTACACAAATAGATAGCACACATGTCCCAAACTCTCCAAGTGCCTGGCACATTTTCCTGCCACCTTGCAGGCTCGAGTAAGGCGAGGCCTCATGGGCTGGTTGTAGTTTCCGGAGTCACCAAGAGACCTACATTGGGGTTATGTAAGGGCCAATCTTCATCCCAATGGAATGGGGAGTTATATGGAATTATCATATGGGGATGGGTCAAAACCATGTACCCCTGTAGTTCACATCAAAATAGCTGGGTTAAAATGAATGTTCATCCCCCTAAAAATGGTATTTTCATAGGTATTGATCCATAGCCATATGGAATTATCATATCTGTTCATTCTTGGGGATGTCTCGGATTTTTTTTGGAAAAAAAAACTCAATGCCAGTGGTTCATCATCATTTTCCCTCCTAAAAATGATGAAAAATGGCCATGAAGGGGGCGTTGATGTTGTTGGGATCCCATCACGTTTTGAGGTTTTCATGGGAGCCACCTTCAAAACTGCCGGCCATTGATTTTAGTATTCGGTGGGAATTTATTCTTTAAAAAATTGAATGGCGTCACGCGCGCGCAAGCTTTTCACAAGCTTCGCGCAAGTTCATGTACGCGCAAGTTTCGCGCAAGCCCGAAATCACGTAGAAAATTGAAACAGAAATGAATGAATATACAACGAAAAGGGTTACACAACATAATGGGACGAGACGAGATGGGTGACGAGTTCCGTTGCTTCCTTGTTGCATTGTTTGCTTGGTTTGTCGGCCCTCTGGCTTGCAAAGGTATAGTCAGTTTAAGCAAACAAGACTTTGAATGGATGTCATGGATTTTGAATGGTAAGAGGCCATGGAGGCAACTGTTGCGTGTAATTTTGACCCTTGAAGATTTCACACATCCTGAATTTTGCGCAAGGTTCGCGCAAGCTTCGCGCAAGCAAAGGGGTTCCTGGCCACTATGCCCCACAGAATCCGGTAGCAAGATGATCGTAGACTCACCATATTGGCTACATTTTGCTACTATGCTCTTTCTGAGCGGGACACTATATAAGCAAAACCACTGCACGGACTGGGGGCCATGCCGCTGTACTGATTGTACCCTGGCTCAAGGCCATACACTCACTGGAGGCATTCAGGGACTACACTGCTGGCAAAATAGGAACTGCGTTGATTGGAGCCTAGAAGTCGAGAAGCCACCGGACAAGCCAAGAAGTCGAGAAGCTGAGAAACAACCGAGCGAGCCGAGAATCTGAGAAGCCAAGAAACCCAAGTCCGAAATCAGCTTCGTGCCTGCATCGCGCAAGCAAAAATGCACCAAATCTCAGGAATTCATCTTCGCGCAAGGTCGCGCAAGCTCAGTTTGAAAAATTGTCCGCGCGCAAACTCCCCTTGTGGTCGCGCAAGGATGGCGCAAGGATTTCGCGCAAGGATGAATAATTTCCATTCAGTTTGAATTGAAGTTTTGAACACCGGGAACCTGAGAAACGTCGAAAATGTGTCACCGTACAAACAAAGTCACCGCGCCACTGTGTACCTTTTTCATCGTCACTAGAAAGTGTCCTATTTGGGTAGAAGGAATCCAAGTATTCACGTCACTTTACGGGCATGTACGCCACGTTGAAAGGTGTTGATGCTACGTTCACAAAATCAAATCGTAAAGTTGCTGCTTTTTGGCACAAATGCATCAGAGATCATCGGAGTGACAAGAAACAGTCATTGGCTCAAAATACTACATACATCTATATACTGGAATCATAGACCTTGTTTTTTTGCCCAGCTTGTGACTTGTATGGCTCATTTTTATAGTTAAGTTATGCCATTCATTTTGGATGGTATTTTTGACCCATTAGACCGGATGGACCGAATGGTGGTTCACCAACCAATTATTGATCTGATTAATCCAGGTGATTTATTTTTGAGATTGTTTGAGACGCAATTGGATTTGAAGTATGAACCAGCTGCCTCATTTGCAAGATTGAGGCGCTTTTGCATATTTGCAAGTGTTTTCAAGTGATCTTAAGTTTACATGGACCAATTTTTCGATGTCCAATCCATAACCCCAAACCAAAACCATCCATTTTTTTCCATGGATTGTTCATGAACTATCCATTAACCATCCAGAACCATTGGGGGCTGCAGGTGGCCTCAGTGATCACGCAGGCAGCGCGTGCTGCCATGGAATTGGATGAACGAATGAAACAGGCCGTGGCTGGTGGGTTCTCCGTTGGGGGTTGGGATCCCTTGGGGCTTCGGGGATCCAAGGTCCGAGAGCGAAGGGTCTGGAGAGCTCGAATTTTTGAGAACTGGAAGATCAGCAGTTTTGAATAGGTAAATCATCCTTTTGATCATCTTGATCACCTGTTTCTATGGGCCATCTATACCATAGCTATGAGAAATAAGTGAATGGTAAATCTCGAAATGAAAGATGAGTCTAGGCGATCCTCAGCTTTTGCCAAAAGGAATAAGTCCGAAATCGTGGCAGTTGCACAATGCCGCAATGCTCTTGCTTGCGGCAAATGGCATGGCGTCATCCCTGGATAGAGATCCCTTTGACAGGACTATATATATATATCCTTACTATATTTATTTATCATCATAATTTACCAGTAGTACCGCACAAGGCGGTGGCGGAAGTTTCAGAAATAGGAAACCTATAGGAGAGGTTGGTTGTTGTGAATCACGGATGGCAGAGCGAATCCACTGATGGACCGAAAAGTGATTGGAGTTGTGTTTCTGGAGTGGTTGCAATGGTTGCAATGGTCACCTCACCACAACTGCTGGATGTAGTGTGGTGTAGTGCAGTTGTAGTTGTAGTGTAGTGTAGCGGAGTTGTAGTTGTGATGTAGTGTAATTAGTGTCGTGTAGTTGCAGTTGCAGTTGCCGTTGTGGTGTGGTGTAATTAGTGTAGTGTAGTGTATTGCAGTCTTGTGTGCTGAAGTGTGGTATGGCGTAGTAGTGTAGTCTAGTGTAGTGTATTGTAAAGTGGTGTAGTTGTAGTCGTAGTGCAGTGTAGTGTAGTTAGTGTAGCGCAGTGTAGTCTAGCGTAATGTAGTGGTAGTTCTAGTTGTAGCTGCAGTTGGAGTTGTGGCTGTAATTAGTGTAATGTAATGCAATGTAGTGTTGTGTAGTGTAGTGTGGTATAGTGTAGTGTAGTCTAGTGTAAGGTAGTGTAGCTGTAGTTGTAGTGTAGTGCAGTGTAATTAGTGTAGTGCAGTGTAGTGTAATGTAGTGTAGTGTAGTATGTGTAGTGTAGTGTGGTGTAGTGTAATGTAGTGGTAGTTGTGGTTGTAGTGTAATGCAATGTAATCAGTGTAGTGTAGTGTTGTGTAGTGTAGGGTGGTTGTAGTTGTAATTGCATTTGCAGTTGTAGTGTGCTGCAGTGTAGTGTAGTGTAGTTGCAATTGTAGTTGTAGTTGTGGTAGTAGCTGTTGTAGTTGTTAGTGCAATTGGTGTAGTGTAGTGTAATTAGGTGTAATTAGAGTAGTGTAGTGTAATTAGTGTAGTGTAATGTAGCGTGGTATATTTGCATTTGTAGTTGTAGCAGTAGTGTAGCGCAGTGTAGTGGTACTTGTAGTTGTAATTGTCTACCTATCAATCAA